GAGCACAGCCCTGTGGAAAACTGTCCGACTGCCTACCGGAGGTGAATGGACAGTTACTCCAAAATGGCATTCTGGTTTAATAGCCAACAGAAATGCACATCAAAGACATGCGCGGCATTGCACGTCCATGGTGACATCATACACGATAACCCCAAAGCAGAAGTGGCCGTGGTGTCTTTTGCAGATGAGTTTCTGGGGAAAGGTCGTAAGGCATTCCACAGAACAGAATGCACGCGGTACTGACCGTGAACTAGAGCGGTCCACACGTGCTCAACTGTGGACAAAACGATGCACACAGAACCAGACTCTGAAGAATCTGTACTTCTCATTCCACTCACCTAGCACTAAGGACAGCTGCCGAGTTAGATCTCAGAGCTTGGGAGCAGACACTGGAGCACTGGACAGTCCAAAGGAACAGGGGTCCCTGCACGCGCTGGAGTGCGTTGCCTCTTTGGTTTATGTGCTTGTAACAAGAAGCAGTGTTAAACCCATGGCCAAGCCCTAACCCAGTGGTGAGACACCTGAGCACTCTCTCTCTCTCTGTCTCTCCCCTCAACAAAGTCACAGCAAGAAAGCAACCATCTACTAGCCAGGAAGAGAGCCCCTTACCAGAACCCATCGTGCTGGCATCCTGACCTTGGACTTCCAGCTCCAGAACTGTGCAAAAATAAATTTCTGTTGTGTGAGCTGCCCGGTCTATGGTGTTTTGTCGCCGAAGCTGGAGCAGACTGATACAGCCATTAACAGATGAAGCTGCAAACAGGGCAGGCAGTTGACACTCCCAGGGATGATGCCCCTCCCAAACCAGAGTCTGGGAATCACCCAACTCTCCTATCCCAGGAAGACAAGTACAAGGTACTATAACTAAGTACTTGTGCTCACCCCCCAAAAAAATTATATGGTAAACATAATTCCCAATGTGATGGGATTTGGAGATGGGGCCTTTGGGAGGTGACTGGGCCCCCAGGGTGGAGATGGTATGAATGCAATTTAATGCCCTTATAAAAGAGTCCCCGAGGGCTCTCTCATCACTTTTGCCACAGGAGGACATATAAAGAAGCATATGGGCTATGAAGCTGTCCCTTATCGGACACCATTCCTCTGGTGGCTTAACCTTGGGCTTCTCAGCCTTTGAACTGCAAGCAATAAATTGCTGAGCCTCAGGTCATGATGGACCCTCTTTCTCCCATCCCCATCCTCTCTCTCTCTCTCTCTCTCTCTCTCTCTCTCTCTCTGTCTCTCTCTCTGCTTCCTGGGCTCTCTCCCAAATAAACTACAGGCTTTGGGGAAACCCAAAGCTAAGCCTGTAAGCAAAAGTCACAAAAGTCAGAAGAGCGACTACCTCTTGACCGGTTGGGAGAAGTACTGGTTGTGGTGAGGACAGTGAGGGGACCTCCTGGGGGCTGTTGGAGAGTCTATTCCAGACCTGGCTTTGTTGTGTGGGGGGGGTGGAGACACAGGGAGACAAAACCCTAGTCTTTGTTTTGTGTCCTGCACTTTTCAGTGTTAATATTTTATGCTATAAAAATTGTAAGTTATTCATCCATGACAATTACTAAGATTAGAATAAATTGAACAGTTTTTGGGGGGAAGTTTTCATGAGTTACTTAGCTCTTCAAGGTTTCGAGGTTCTGCTTAGTAGTTCAGAATTTTAATAAATTGAACTGATACATCAGGAACGAAGGGCACTTGATCCTGGCTTTGTGATGATGCCCCTTTTAGGGGCAGGCAGAGGTGGGCTGGGCTCCTCTGGTAAGGTGGGTGCTATTCACTTACGTGGACAGCAACTGAGGTCCAGGTTGGGGGATCATGGCCCTAGGTGCTGGAAAGCAGGCCAGGCTGGGAAGTCGGATCCTGCCCCATTCAGGAGCACAGCCAATTGGAACAATCCCAATTTCAAGATGCCAAATGTTGCCTGGAACACGCCTGTACTGAGGCATCCTGTCTGTTCATCTAAATACAAACGTAAGGAACAGCAGCCCCGCATTCCTGTGAGTCTCCCCCAGCCCATGCAGGCCCCATGCTGGGTGCCTCCACTCTTGGCCCCTCTGCCTGGGCGACAGAACCTCTGAGCCCCTGGGATGTGAGGTCCCTATTGATTTGAGGACCTGCTCCACCCTATCTCCTACCCTGTGCTGTAGAGAGTGGGTCCTCCGTGAGCAGTGGTAGCATGGAGGTGGGAATGACCCCAGCAAGGACTGGACCCTGGCAGGTCCTGCTGCCGCGGGAGGGCACGGATCTCCGTGTCCTGGGGTCCTGGGTTTAAATCTTTGCTCCAACACTGCTGGTGTCCAGGCCTTTCCTCCCCAGGGTTCAGGTTGCTCAATGGAAGAAAAATGGTGCTGGTGCGGAGAAAAAAGGACCTCGTGAGGCTGAAGTCCATAAAAACTTTAGCACAGGCCTGGAGCAAGAGCTGTTACTAAAAAATAGTGTGAATCACAAAAACCCACAAGGCTCCGTGCTTTGCAGAAAAAGCGGGTTCCCAAAGGAAAAAGGAAAAAAGAAAAAAAAAAAAATCCTGCAGGGTCAGGCAGCGCGACTCTTGCGCCACCTGCTGGACACTGGGGATGGCAGGTGGCGGCCGTGCTGTGTCCCTTGCCTTCCTGCAGGGCGATGCGGCTGCGTCCTGCGTCCCAGTGTCCACTCGCTTGACCCCTGCAGGACGCAGCGCAGGAGTGAGCAGTCGCTCCTTCAGGTGTTGGGGACCGGGCACCTGAACGATGGGAAGTGGGTGAGGACCCTACCAGGCCCCGTAGACCCAGAGGGTCCCTGCCCGGCCCCGTTGTGACACTAGAAACTAGATCCTGACTTGCTTTCTGGGTGCCCCTAGCTCCCACCCATCGCCTAGCGTATGAAAGCTACCGAGGCCACCTGCACCCCACCCCATCTCCTCTCCTGACCCCAGGGGCCATCGGTCCCGGCCAAGAGAGGGAGAGAGGAGAGCAGGTGACTCTCAAGCCTGGCCCCGCCCACCAGGGGACAGGACAGGGAGTCCGGGTCCCTGCGCCGGTGCACCCAGCCTCTGGGAAATGAGCTTCCGGTTGTGAGCTCTGTGAGTTCCAGGGTCATGAGTTGTAACAGGGAGCTTTGCTTTCTGCTGAGAAGATGCGAGGTCACAGATGTAAGGACAGAAGAGAAAAGCATACTGGTATTTTTTCAAAGGATTAATCTTTTTGTGGGCAGTACTGGGGTTTGAACTCAGGACCTTGTACACTTGCTAGGCTGGTGCTCTACCACTTGAGCCACACCTCAAGCCCCTTTTTCTTTCTTTCCTTCTTTCTCTTTCTTTCTTTCTTTCTCTTTTCTTTTTTCCTTTCTTCTTTTCTTCCCTCCCTTCTTTCTTTCTTTTTTTTAGCTTTTGTTTTTTGGCTTGGTTCGGTTCTCTAATCCATTTTTCTCCTTGAGTTCCATGATCTTGGCAAACTAGGAGTATGATTTGTGGCAGCAGCTGCCTCTGTCAAGCTTTCTGGGCCTCTCCTTGCTGTTAGAAAATGACAACAGGAGGTGTAGCTAAGTGATGAGCACTCACCTAGCATGGGCAAGGCCCTGAGTTCCAAACTCACCACGCAAAAAGTAAAAAAAAAAATAAAGAATCACCTAACTTAAGCCAGCACAGTGGCAGCACCTGTAGAGTTCAAGGCCAGCCTGGGCCCTGAGGCAAGACCCTGCCTCAAAAAAAAGAAAGACAACAGCCCTTGGCCTGCCTGCTTCTCTCCAGCACCCTCCCTTCCAGTCTCTGGCCCTCCTGCAGTTCTGTGTTCACAGGGCCCTCTGCAGACTTGACCAATCTGTCTAGAACCTGTCCCCTTCCCAACTTACTTCCAGAAGGACTCCTTAAGCCCCACCTACACAGCAGGGTCCAATACCCCAATGTCACCTTTCATCCAGCCATTTGCTGCCTCTGTAGCCATCCCTGTGCTGCAATTTCACAGCAAGGTGCAGACTGACTTGGTGTAAGTATCTGATGAGCCCCCCACTTCTTCCCCAGGGTCTTTCTCTGCGCTTGTTCTTCCCAGTGACTGACATGACCCCTCCCCCCAGATGTCAGGATGGCTGGTCTGTCACCTCTTCCACACCCTTCTTCCTCTAACTCTCCAACTTAAATCTGCACATCTCTCCCTCTCCCAGCTCCTTACTCCCTGACCCCTTTCTCTTGTTATCTTTTAAATTTTGTTTTTTTAATTTTGTTTTTCTAATTAAATTATTGTTGTACTGGGGTACATTGTGACAGTTACAAAAGTTCTTACATGTATCATAGTTGAATTCATCCTTATTTTTTTAAGTAAGTAAAAAATTTTGTGTATTTACTGTGTACAACAAATTTTGGCATACGTGTACATTAGGGACTAGCAAAATAAAGCTAATTAACATATGATTCCCCACACATACTTTTTGGTGGTGAGAACAGGTAAAATCGACTCTCCTCGATCTTCAAGCACACAGTAATTTCACCAGAATGTAAAGTAGCTCCCTTGAACTTGGTCTCCTGTCTAGCTGAAGTTTCTGCCCTCTGAGGGCATGCTGTCTTCTGGTTCACTGTTCATTTATTTTATTTGTTCTTCATGTGAAAAGGCCACTCCACAGGAGTTCAGGCATTTTGCTTCATCCCCCCAGCTGCACCCCCCAAGCCTAGAACCCTAGAACCCTGCCTGGCACAGCTCGGCCGCCTGACAAGTTCGTTAAGTGAATAAGCAAAGGTGGCGTGATATTGCTATGACCCACCGTTCCATTTAGCGCGGTGGGGACGATGCACAGGACACACAATTGCATTTATAAATGGACGCGCAGACATTTCTTTGTCACCGCGCACGTCTTTTCAACTCAGAAGGAGACTCGTGAGCAGCGTGGGGCCCGGAGAGCGATTTACAACACGACTGCAGCCGACGGAGCGGGACCACGAGCATCCGCCGAGGCCTTTGCGACCCCGGTGGTCCCCGCGTTAGGCGCGGGCCGCGGGCCGCTTTAAGGATGCGCTGCGGGCGCCGCGCGCGCGGGATGCAGGCTGACGTCACGGCCCCGCCCCGCGGCTGATGCTGCAGCGGCTCGGGCGGGCGGGGGGCGGCCGGGCGGGGACCGCGCTGCGCCCGGGGCCGCCAGGAGCCCGGCCTCGGACAGGGATGCCTCCCGCCTCGACCCACAGGTACCCGCGTCCCCTCCCGAGCCCCGCGCCCCGCGCCCCGCCCCGCGCCCGGCCCCGCCGCTGTGCGGCCTTAGGCCCCAGGCGATCCGAGTACCAACCCTGGGACTCGAGGTTGGCACGGAGACCTTTGTTCCTCCTGGCTGCCCAGTTCATGAAACTGTGCACAGAGCCCGTGTCGCCCCCTGCGGGCGGGATGTCAGGCCCAGAGGCGGGGGCGGGGGGGGGGCAGTTTGGTGACAGGTTGTTTCACCCTTGCTGGCAGCGGGATCAAACGCTGGAATTGGTCCCTAGCTTCTGGTGTGTTTTTGGAGCCCGAGGCCTGTTCCTGGCCACCTGGGCAGGTGTCATCAGCTTCCGGTTCACTTCCTGCCTGAGGCTGGGCCTTCTTGCTAACCAGGGGCCATTGTAGAACCATTTTTAGGATGCCCAGGTGACTTATGGACAGCACCCTATCATATCCCTGCCATCTGAGTCACTGTTGCCAAGAGTGACATGCTAAGGTTGACACAGGAGGCTTGTCGGCAGTTCCCTTCATTCTGTCCTTAACAGTAAATGACCTCTCTGGTTTCTGGAGCTGTCATATGTTGATGGTTTTCAGCTCTTACAGGGCACAGAGGAAGCCCAAGTTCAATGTGTGCCTGGTCAGGGCTTTTGGGACAAGCTGGAGATGGATGTGACCGAGGGGCCACAATTCAATAACTAGCTTAAAATTACACCTTCCTGAGGCCCCAGAGTCCTGTAAGGGCCTGGAAAGACTTCCCTTGAAGAAGCAAATTTGAGAATGGTGGGAAGGGGCGGGAAAGGGAAATGGTCTCAGCAAGGCCCCTTCCCCCACAGGAAGGTGATTTTCATAGAGAGAAGAGGAGAAGGAATCCAGGAAATGGACTGGCTCATGGCAGGATAATTTTAAGCATTCAGATTACATTACTCTTGTGCAGTTTGGAAGTCCATCATTTTAAGCATCCTCAGTGTTCTGGAGACTCCGAGGGCCTGCGTGTGACGCGTGGGGGTCCCAGGCATCCGTATGCCTTTTCTTTTGACTGAGCAAATGGTCATGGAGGGATAAAGATAGCCTGGTGACTACTTGTGTTACTGTATTAAAATTCTATTTCTGGGGGGTAATTCAAGTACAATAAGTTTGATGGATTGTAAGAACTTTTGTAAATGCCAAAACGTACCACCACCAGCACAACAATAAAAAAAAAAAAACCTAAATAAATAAAATAAAATTCTATTTCTGGGGCTGGCAGAGTGGCTCAAGTGGTAGAGCACCTGCCTAGCAAGTGTGAGACCCTGAGTTCAAACCTCAGCACCACAAAAAAAAGATCTATTTTGTTATTTTAATTTTCATTTTCACAGCAAATTTGAAAATTAATTTTAAAAAAGAATTCTTAGAATAAACTTTCACGCAAGAACTTTTAAGAAATATATATAGAGAGAGACAGAGAGAGATTTTATTTTATGTTTTGCAATACTGGTGTTGAACTCAGGGCCTCACCCTTGCTAGGCAAGCACTCTATCTCTTGAGCCATTCCCCCAGCCCAGCAAATGTATTTTATAAAAATGGCAAAAACGACCCTTGAACTCGAGGGCGAACCCTCAGTGAATACTTTCTTCAAGCTTGGGGTGAGTTCTGGTTCAGGTGCCGGGGGTGCAAATCTTCCCTTTTGCTCAACAGGCTCTGAGCCGTGTTTTGAAGCTGGGGGTGGTGGGAGGCCATGGCGGCTTGTCACATTGCAGGTGGGGACCAGGCCATCCAGTAGTTCAAGTAGCGTTGTGAAAGTGCGCCTCTCAAAAATATGCCTCTGCCAAAGAGGAGTTTTTTCTGAACAGTTCTTCATCCCAAAATCAAAGGGCACAGGCTCCAAGTGTCCCTCGTGGGGAGAACAGCTGATGGGAAAGAGGGGGTGAGGCACTGTGTGCCCACAGAGGCGAATGTGGGCTGTGACCAACAGGGAGAGTCACAGCCAGCTGGTCTTACCATGTCTGTTTAAACTGGTGCTACTTCTCTGCTTTTAGTGAATGAAGCCCCACCTAGGCTGGTTCCTGAGTTTTGCAAGGAGGGCTGGCCAGCTGACAGGCTGAGCTGCAGAAGCACCTGAGCTAGCCCAAAGAGAAACACATCAAGTTTAGCTTTTTTGAACAGCTTCCTCTTAATCTTCACACATGAATTCTATTTTAAATGAAGTATTATTTAGCTACATAGTTCTTAGGTCCATCTCTTCTTGTTTTACAGGAAAATGTGACATTTTTCTAAGGTCACAAGCTGAGTCACTTATAGATGTGACAGTAGAGTGAGTCTCTACTCTGTCACTCCCAGAAAAAAATCTACGTCTTACCAAAGTTTCAGGGTCCTCCATCCTCTGCTAATCCCTTCCTGATGGCTTTATTTCACCACATCCCATTGTGCTGACGGCTGATTACCTGTCTTTTATACAATTTTCCTCTACTCTTTCACAGAACTCAGGGCAAAAAATATATCTTTATTTTATCTCTGTGACCTCAGTGTCTTGGGCCTTGGTATTCTTGTCAACTGGGAGGATAGGTAGGTAGATGGATGCATGTTTGGAGGGGTAGATAGGTAGGTGAGTGTGTGAATGGTTGACTAGAACAATGAATGGAAGAAGGATGGATGGATGGATATGCAGATGGGTGGATGGATGGCTGGATGGATGGTGGATAAATGGATAGATGAGTGGATGGGTGGATGGATGTGTAAATGGGTGGGATGGATGGATGGATGGATATGGAGACAGGTTGGATGGATGGATGGATGGATATGTAGACAGGTTGGATGGATGGAGGGATGGATGGATGTCGGATGGATGGATAGTTGGGTGGATGAATGGATGGAGGATGGATGGATGGATGGTGGATGGATGGTGGATAAATGGATAGATGGGTGGATGGATGGATAGATGTGTAGATGGGTGGGTGGGTGGATGGATGGATGTGTAAATGGGTGGATGGATGGATAGATGGGTGGATGGATGGTGAATGGATGGATAGATGGGTGGATGTATGAATGGTAGATGGATAGGTAGATGAATGTACAGATGGGTGAGTGGACGGTGGATAGATGGATAGATGGGTGGATGGATGGATGTGTAAATGGGTGAATGGATGGATAGATGGTTGGATGTATGAATGGTAGATGGATGGGTAAATGAATGTGCAGATGGGTGAATGGATGGATGGTGGATGGATGAATGTGTGGATGGATAGGTCACTGGATTAACACAGTGTTGTGAATCCTCCTAGGGTGTCTCTAGGTCCAATCATTTCCACCACTGCTGCCTTTTAAAGAGAAGAATAATTCCTGAGTAGATGGGGTGGTGAAGTTTGGATACACATATGGAGTGGAATTTTAGAGTGATTCATAAAGAAATTAACTGTTATCAATAGTGTGATTAGTGATTTGCCATAGTGTGGTATGGAAAGTGACAGAGATGTTAATTTTGAAAACGAGGGCTTAAAACTGAAGTTTAAAACTAATTTTGAATGAACGCCTATAATGTTTATCTTGGTAAAAGATAAGCCTCATCGTCAGGAAATGGATCAAGGTTGGGAAGTCATCCGGGTTTGGGGTCTACCTCCCAGGAAGGACTTCAAAGGGACTAAGTCCAGTGCTTTCTGTGAGGCAGGAGGAGGGTGATGAGAGAGATCCAACAGAGCCCTGCAGCGTCCTCAGGCCCGTGTTTCTAAGCCTCCCTCTGACTTTCCTCTCCCTGTGCTGAGGAAACACAAGTCAACATTTTGAATGTGTAGAATCTGCATTGTCACAGAGCAGTGAAGAGCAGTTGGATGCCTGGGAACAGGTGTCTGAGTGGCTGGGATTTCGGACCCCAGGGGGCAGAGGCCAGAGGACGCATGGAGGGAAGCCCAGGAGGCCCGCACACTGCCAAGTCACACTGTGGCCAGTGTGAAAACTCAGAAAATAAATAAATTGAGAATGGGTTTGTTGTATTTCTGTATTTATTTACAGGGCTGTGGACGGAACCCAGGGCCTAGCACATACTAGGCAAGCGCTCTACCATTGCCATTTCTTTAAAGAGAACATTTTCTGGTATTTCAAAAGTCTCAGTTTCCTAACTTGACTGAAAATTCAGTTGTCCAGTTGGTGGCAAAAGGAACCAGCTTGCATTCAAGCCATTTAGCTGCTTTTGAGGCAGGCGTCTGGTCACACTGGCTCCTATGAGGGTTAAATACACACACAAGGGAGCCCAGGTGACAGTTGTAACTTTCCGATCTGGGCAGGAAGGGCTGTCCCCTCACCCTGAGTGCACACTCAGGGTGCCCACAGGTGGTTTCTGTCTCATGCCTGGCCTCTCCCATCTCTGGTCCCCTGGGACCTTCAGGGAAGGGCATCATTAGTCCTGGAAATGGGCAAGTCCTTGAGTACCACGGTGCTGCTGGCCGCTCTGCAGGAGGGTCTTTGCATGACCGCTCTGACAGAGCTTCTGTTTGGGGGCTGTGCCTTGGAGTGTCACGAGGGGACCTGAGGACAGGGGGCCTTTCTCCAGGCAGGGAGAGAGCATCAGGTTGGTCTCCTTGGGCAGATGAGCTGTGCTGATGTGAAGCGGGGGGAGGGCCTGCAGTGGCTCCCAGGGGACAGTGTTGGATCCTAAGGATCCCACGTTGAAAGAGCATGTGGGCAGTCGTGTAGGAACACCACTGGGGGCCCACGAAGTAACTGTGGCACTCACGGCTTCCTCACAGGGACACGCAGCCACCCTGCTCACAATGATTCCCGCAGCGAGCAGCAGCCCTCCGGGGGACACCCTCTTCCCAGGCCTGGCCCCCCAGGACTTCTGCAGGGCTCATGTCTCCAGCTACTCGGGGTCTGTGACCCGCCACATCAGCCACCGGGCGAACAACTTCAAGCGACACCCCAAGAGGAGGAAGTGCATTCGCCCCTCTCCGCCTCCGCCCCCCAACACCCCATGTCCCATCGAGCTGGTGGACTTTGGGGACCTGCACCCCCAGAGGTCCATCAGGGAGCTGCTGTTCAATGGCTCCATCCTGTTTGGTGTCGAGTTCAGCTATGCCATGGAGACAGCATATGTGACCCCAGTGCTCCTGCAAATGGGCCTGCCTGACCAGCTCTACAGCCTGGTGTGGTTCATCAGCCCCATCCTCGGTGAGCCCCCACTTAGCCCTGCTGCCAGATGGATCTGGGAGCTTTTGGAAGCTTCTAGAAGTCTCCAGGAGCTTCTGAAGCCTCGGATGAAGCAGCTTGAGGTTCCCCGGGGGATAATGGAGGAGCAAGAGTTAAGTTCCCCACATTAGTATGGGGCTGAAGGAATACACAGGTATGGCAGTCATACCCATGTTCTAAGTTCCTTTATCTAAAGCAGACCCTGAGGATTCTGCCACTTTAGCCAAACCATCACGGAAGAATCCAAGCTGTAAAGCTGGATGTGATATGGGCCTAGGAGGTCATGGAATTTCTTGGATTCCCAAGAAAGGTCATGGCAGCTTAGTTAAGTTGCAGGGTCCAAAGTGGACAACTGAGAAGACAATTCCAGAGTCTGTATCTCTTTCCTGCGTAGCCTAGGGTTCCGCTGCTGACTCAGTTCCATCGTTTTTTACCTTTGGGTGCATTGGTTGGAGGGCAGGTGCCTGGGCAGTGTGACGAGGCTGCTTGAGTGGCCCGGAGTGCTCTGGGGACCCCAGAGATGACATTAGCTTGCTCTGTTTCAGGATTCCTGCTGCAGCCTCTGTTGGGTGCTTGGAGTGACCGATGTACCTCAAGGTTTGGAAGGAGACGCCCTTTCATTCTTGTCCTGGCCATAGGTCTGTTGTTCTAGCATGAAAATAAAATGGAAAAAAAAAAAAAAAAAGGCCCCAACTTCTTCCTTTTGGGAAAGTCTTGAGCCAGGCAGTTCCCAAAGTGACTCACTCCAGGCCCTCACTGCTGTGGCGGAGGGAGCCCCCAACCCAGCCCCTCTTTTTGCTGGTGCTGGGGAGTCATTAACGTTTTTCAGTGAGTGAACAAGGTGCACTCACTGCTGCTCTGCTTGACGGACTGGCCAAGTGCAAAACCCGTGGCCCTCGGCTCACGCTAACCCCGCGTTAGTTCTCCAGGCTCTTGAGCGCGCGCAGCTGCTGTGCGCCTCCTCCAGGTGACTTTGTTCCGTTCGCAGGGGCTCTGCTGGGGCTCTCGCTCTTGCTCAATGGCAGGGACGTGGGCGCCGCCCTGGCCGACACGGCGTCCAGTCACAAGTGGGGCATCCTCCTGACCGTGTGCGGGGTGGTGCTGATGGACTTCAGCGCGGACTCTGCGGACAACCCCAGCCACGCCTACATGATGGACGTGTGCGGCCCGGCCGACCAGGACAGAGGCCTCAACATCCACGCCCTCCTGGCCGGTGAGCGACCCTCACAGGGCCGCGGGTTCCGGGGGGCCTCCCTCCCTCACCCCCTGCCTTAAAACTGGGTTGTTGAGATTCAGATCTGGGGGTAGGCGCTGAGGTGGCTGAAGATCAGTGTCTCGGTGGGTGCCAACAGCGACATTCGGCATGGTCTGTACGCGCGGACCTGCACGGCCAAGCGCGCCCATCCCGCCCCTGGCCACTGGCCCCAGGACCCTTAGCTCCGTTATGTAGGCGGCACAGCCCTTGCGTGTAGCTTTCGTACATCCTTCCATACACCTTCTGCTGGGAGCTTTTATTTTTGGCGGCACTGGGGTTTGAACTCAGGGCCACACGCTTACTAGGCAGGCGCTCTGCTCTTGAGCCCCACCCCCCTCCCCCAGCTCACGTATTTTACTCATCCCTAGGTTACCTAACGACGTACATAGCCATCGTACTGTTTGGGGAACAATGCCAGGAGAAAAGTCCGCACGTGCCTGGCACAGATGCAGTTCTTCTCTGAGTATTTGAACTGTGGCACGCACAATCTGCGGACATGTACGTGCACATAAATCCACAGCGTAAATCGCTGAGTCTCATTATTTGCAGCCGTTACGTTGCTGCAAAGGACACGCGTACACCGTGTTAGCCAACGCTGAGTCCTTGCTCTGAGTCCTTGGATGCCTGGGAGCGTCTGGTCACATTTTCACCCGGTTGGTCAGTACATAGCCTTGACTGACTTTCTGTTTAAAGACAGCACCTAGTTTGTTTAATAGGTACTGTCAGCTCATTAGCACAGAACGCACGGCTCACAGCACGTAACTCACACCCCAATGAAGCTCACACAACTCGGGTGTCAGGCACATCACAACCTTCGCGCACCCCGAACACTGCACAGCACTTCAGCACTAAGCCAGGGGCCATTTGAAACAGTGAAAACACCAGCTAAAAATGGCCAGGTGTGGTGGTGCACACCTGTAATCCCAGCCACTTGGGAGGCGGAGCCAGGAGGATCTCAAGTTTAAAACCAGCCTGGATCAACCCAGGCAAATTTAATGAGGCCCTCTGTTAAAAGCAAAAATATAAACGAGAGACTGAGGGCATGGCTCAAGAAGTAGAGTGCCTGCCTAGACTGCGTGAGGCCCGGGGTTCAATCCCCAGTACCAAACGAAAAGCAGCAGAAAACGTGGCACTGACTAAGACACTCAGGCTCTGAGGGCTGAAGCAGGAAGGCAGAGCGTCACCCCGAGTCACCAGTTTTTCGCTGTTCTGTGCGTAGCTTTCAATGGTGTCAGAGGTGCCGTGAGCACTGGCGAGCGGTTACGCACGAACTGAGGATCAAGAGTGTGTGGGCATCGGCTCAGGCCCGAAATCCTAGCTACTTGGGAGGCTGAGATTGGGAGGATTGCAGTTCGAGGCCAACTCAGGCAAATAGCTCTTGAGACCCCATCTCCAAAATAACCAGAGCAAAATGGACTGGAGGTGTGGCTCAAGCAGTAGAGCGCCTGCTCGGCAAGCGTGAAGCCGTGCATGTGTGCGTGTGTGTGCGTGTGTGTGGACACGCCTGTCCAGTGGGATATGAGGCCCATCCCTATCGGTGAGCATGGAGGCTGGGGTGCACTGACCCTGCAGGGCCAGAGCCGCTGGTCTGGCCGGAGGTCAGAGCAGTCTTCGCGGCTCTGCGACTGCCCCTGCAAAGCGGCTGACATCCAGAATTGAGCAGGATGAGACGCTGTCAGCGTTGCACACCGGTCAGAACCTGTGGCTTTCCTGTGTCACACACTTACCTCGCTGCAAATAGCATGCAAGGAAAAGGCCCACTTATAGTAGCAGTTGAGGGCTATGTTTACAGAAAATAAAATAGTGGTTAAAAGAGGGTTTTTAAAAATGAAAGGAAAAGCCAGGCGCCAGTGGCTCACGCCTGTAATCCTAGCCACTCAGGAGGCAGAGGTCAGGAGGATCCTGGTTCGAAGCCAGATCGGTCAATAGTTGTGGAGACCCTATCTTGAAAAACCAACACAAAAAAGGGCTGGTGGAGTGTTCAAGGTGTAGGCCCTGAGTTCAAACCCCAGCACCACCAAAAGAAAAAAAAAATGCAGTAAGATAAAGCACAGACCCACGAAGGGGCCATGGAGGCTGCGGGTGCAGCCGGGATGCGCAAAGCTGAGGTGGACCGCCGTCTGCTGCAGCTGGGCCCGGGGGCAGCGCCCACGTCTGTTTGGGCCTTGGTGGCTCGGCCACTCGGCTGGTGCCCTGGGGCCGTGGAAGAAGGCCACAGCGGCCCGAGCATCCCTCAAAGATCCTGAGAGCGGCCCACCAGCTGGAGGAGAGGCAGAGCCACCTCAGGTCACCACTGGGTGGCTTTCCTAGTGGCGACCAAGTGCAAAGATGACACGGGAAGCCCCCGCGTGCATGTGTGTGCTTGCGTGTTCGAGATGAGGTCTTGACGTGTTTACACGACACCAAATCCTGTGGGGGACTTGGAGGACGATGTGACAATGCAGACCCTCATGTCTGTCTCCCTAGTAGGTTGTGTAGGTAGCAGAACAGGTCCTGGTGCTACCTGCTCTGGAACCAGCCCCAGGGTTAGCACCAGGAAGTGCTGGCAGGTGACCTTAGGGGGCAAGACACAGTGTCCCCTAGGGGCCCGCCCTGGACTCCCATTCTCATTTTTCTTGAGGTCCTTGGGACGGACTGGGCTACTTCGTGTCCTTCTGAAAAGTGGAGCGGCCTCTCCTTGGGGCTCCTTGCCCGCGGCAGGAGGGGGACTGACGCCGTTTTCTCTCCCCAGGCCTCGGAGGAGGGTTCGGGTACGTGGTCGGGGGAATCCACTGGGACCGGACCAGCTTCGGGAAAGCCCTGGGGGGCCAGCTCCGTGTCATTTACATCTTCACCGCGATCACCCTGAGTGTCACCACCGTGCTGACCCTGGTCAGCATCCCGGAGAGGCCACTGCGTCCCCTGGGTGAGAAGAGGACAGCCATGAAGAGTCCCAGCCTCCCCCTGCCCCCCTCCCCGCCCGTCCTGGTGGAGGAGGGGGCCAGCGACATCCTCCCCGCGCACACGGCCACCAGCCTGTACGCCAGCTTCTCCAGCCCCATCTCGCCACCCAGCCCCCTCACGCCCAAGTACGGCAGCTTCCTCAGCAGGGACAGCTCCCTGACGGGCATCAACGAGTTCGCGTCGTCCTTTGGCACGGCCAACATAGACAACGTCCTCATTGACTGCTTCACGGGGGGCCACGACAACTACTTGACCCTCCCCAGCAGCGTCCCCAGGCAGGCCATCAGTGTCAGCTTTCCCCGGGCCCCCGATGGCTTCTACCACCAGGACCGGGGACTGCTGGAGAGGAGGGATGGGACCCTGACATCCGGGCAGGACGGGGACCTGCTGAGGGTGGGCTCCCTGGACACCTCCAAGCCGAGGGCCTCTGGGATCTTGAAGAGACCCCAGACCCTGGCTCTCCCAGAGGCGACAGGAGGAGGCGGCCCCGAGACCAGCAGGAGAAGGAATGTGACCTTCAGCCAACAGGTAAAATCGGATGCTGGGGGAGCCGGGGGGCCCATGGCGACGTGTGGTTGTCCCCATCACCAGTCAGACGGCAAAGGGAGAGTCGATCAGAAAGTCCCGTCCGCCGCGGGTTCACAGCTCCTCTGCTCCGCGCAGATGAACTCAAAAACTCCCATTTCCACTCGCGTGTGGGCGCGGGAGTCCTGAGCGTGCCGGGCCCGCAGACGGGCGAGCCACCGGGTATCCGTCAGGCGTCCATCAGGGACTTAGTGCCCGGGCCGTGAATTACGGCGACAACTCTTATAAACGGGGTTGCTTGCCCAGAGGTGATCCAGGTCGGGACCACCCCTCGGTGAGTGTGCTTTCTCGCACTTCCCCTCAACCGCCAGTGCACAGCTCATTTGGGCCCTGTGAATCCGGGGCCAACACATCCGAGTCTTGAAGAAAGATGGTGACCCAGGGCAAACCTGCAGCCTTTCTGGAACCTTCTCCAACTACAGTGGTCACTAAGGCTAGTGTTTAACATTAGCTGACTCTGAGCGGTCACAGAAACGCTGATTGTCAAGGACAAAGGCACAGAACCTTCCAGAAGGCTGTTGGAGTTGTTTTTGGAATATGTCAGCTGGCCGCAGGGTCGCTGGCTGTCAGGTGAGGTGTCACAGCGCTCAGCACCTGTGGCTTGAGGATCTCCTTGCCGAGAGGAGGCTGTTCTATTGAAAGCAGCCACAGGGCTCTGTGCCCTGTGACTCAGGGTGTCCCGGGAGGAGAGCTGGCATTGCTTCACCCTGGTCCTATGAGAGCATCCAGCCTGCACGGGTCCCGCCAGGGGCGCAGCTCTGAAGGCCAAGTAGCTGGAAGTGAGGTCCAAGGAGACTGTGCTTGGGCCACAGCCGCCCTTGCCCTCTCACTGAAGTGTGGCCATCCTCCCCTCACTCCCTCCGGGCCATTATTGTCAAAGGCAAGAGCTTTCCTCATGGCTCTGGTCAAGGGCCTGTCATTCTCCTTTCTGATGACACCCGAGTAACTAATCCAGCCCTCTGCCATGCTGGAGCAGTCTGCACCTTCACACAGCTCAGAGGGCTGTGCGCTTGTGGAGTTCGTGGCCATCCGTTTTCCCGCCCCCGTTTCTCCCTGGAGTGTGGCTTATGCACCAGTGCTTTGAGGAAAGTAAAAGTCACGGACTGAATAGAAGCAGATGGGGGCTCAGGTGGGGGCAAGGTGGGATTCTGACCGTCTCCCTCCAGTAGGCGAGCGTGATGAGCTCTGGTGATGCAGTTGCCCTGGAAACCAGCGCGGTGGGCTCCCTACTTCCTTTGCCCACTGGAGTACCCAGGTGCTGACAGTGCCACCCCCACAGCATCCCCAGAGTGAAATTCCAGAGGGATTCCTTCTCCTGGCTGGGGTCTACACCCAGACCCAAGCAGGGCACCGTGCAGTGGAACTTCTCATGACAGGAAGAGTTGGCAAACCAAGGCAGGGGTGGCTCTGTGGACAGTGGGGTGCCTGGGCCCCACCCCGAGCCCTGGTGAGGGTCAAGATGCTCTTGTTGACGTGGGCCCCCCGTCCTCTGTGTGATGGCAGCCCCCCCTGCACAGAGGACTTTGAGCAGGCACCCCCAGTCACCTTGAGGTAAGTCTTCTGCGCCCTGTTTCCGTGGTCAAGAAGGGCCTTGGAGATGTCTGGGTTGGAGTGATCTGAATTTCATTTTCAACGGATTTCTACTTCGTGTGGCACAGATTTCTGGTCCTGCAACACGTTGTAGTTGTGCTTGAGATGAAATTCCTCTCTGAGCTGCTCCCAGGTCTCAGAAGGGACAGCCTGGAGTCTTCTCTCCCACCTGGAGTGCCTGGTGCTTTGTCTGCTGAGGCGACAATCCGTCCCTGCTGTGTGCACGGCGTGTCTGGCGCAGGATCCCGGCTCTGACGCCGGGTCCGGGGCTCTGTTACAGGTAGCGAACATCTTACTCAACGGTGTGAAGTACGAGAGCGAGCTGACGGGCTCCGGGGAGCAGGCGGAGCAGCCTCTGTCCCTGCGGCACCTCTGTGCCACCATCTGCAACATGCCCAAGGCGCTGCGCAACCTGTGCGTCAACCACTTCCTGGGTGAGCCGGGCCCCGCCTGTCCGCGGCTCTCTGGGGGTGCAGGGTGCCGCTCTTCCCAGGAGCTCCCCACGTCCCTTAGCCTCCCAAAGCAAGGGTGGAGCGCGGCCCTGTTGGCTGCCCTGGGCGGTCCCTGGTGGAACCAGGAATTCTGGATCTCAAACGCTTCTCCTGGGTGGCTGCGCAGCTGGGGTCCACAGAGCTGAGCCCTTGCAGCTCCATAGCTTTGAACTCGCAGCCTAGCAATGGACCCCGCCTTCCCACTGTGTCCTCCCTTACCTCAGAGCCCAGACGTGAACAGCACAGACCCTCCCGGCCACCTGCACACATCTGTGATGCTCTCAAACCCACAGGGTGACATCTGAGGGACATCAAAAGTCCCTGCTTGCACGTCACACCACGTGGTATCTCTTGAGAATTTGGGAGATGGTCAGGCTCCCCTGCAGAGTGGGGCTCCAGTCAGGACCACCTTCCAGGAGGTGATTCGGCGACCAGGAAGGGGCTGACAAATGTTCACAGCCTTTTTACCCCATGTCCCGAGCAGGCCACCACTGAAGATGTCACTAAGCTTATGGGTGTAAGGTATTCAGCACAGCATGGCTTACGATAGCCAAAAACTGGGCTGGGGGTGAAAACGTCCAAGCACGGAAGGGCGAAGCATTGCGGTGTCTCCGCACTGTGCGTGACAGGAAGCCTTCGAATTGCATTTGACAGCTCAGGAACTTGCACCTGATCATTCATTAGGGCTCAGGAGGCTGACAAACACCGCGTGCCCCAGCAGAGCAGGACAGACAGGACAGAGAAGTGGCGCTCTGACGTTGTGGGGTGACTGAATCCCACGGCTCCCCGCACTACACTTGCTGATGCATTTCTCCCTGTTAAATGCCACCCCCGCCACGTGGCTGGAGCACCTGCTCCCCGCACTGCCTTGCCTCAAATTTATAAAAATATATATATTCACTGGGATATAAAAGAACAAAGGACACCCCAGGTTTCACCAGGTTGACTCTGGGTGGCAAGGTATCCTTTAATTTTTGAGACAATTAAAAATCACTCATTATTTTACAATCAGTAAAAGCAGTTAAAGCCACAGCCTTGATGGCCCGAGGTCCCCGCCTTTCTCCCTCCAGGGTGGCTGTCGTTCGAGGGGATGCTGCTCTTCTACACGGACTTCATGGGCGAGGTGGTGTTCCAGGGGGACCCGAAGGCACCGCACACGTCGGAAGCGTATCAGAAGTACAACAGTGGCGTCACCATGGGCTGCTGGGGCCTGTGCATCTACGCCTTCAGTGCTGCCTTCTACTCAGGTGCCTGCATCAGGGTGGCTCCCAGGTGGGTGGCTGGAGGATGCTATGGACAGAGGGTCTGTGTCTTTGCCACTGCAGACACAAAGTCCCAATTCAGGTGAGCACTGCTGTCCTTGTGGCCTCCTGGCCACACTGCCCTGGGCCCAGGGTGGGCACCGGAGGTGTAGAGACCCACCCTGCAGGTGTCAGCCTACAAAGACCTGGCAGCCCCAAGGGGACAGGTGCATTCACACCTGCCCAAACCAAGCAAGGCAGAGCAAGGCCTGAGGACAGCCTGGGGCTACCCTGGTGTGTGTACTGCCACCAGACCCACACCCCTCCGTATCCCTGACCTCCTCAGTGTTTCAGCCCAAAGACCTCTTGGTCTGCAGAAGCCCTGGGGCATGGCCAGGTGAGCAGGGACACCTGGGTCCTGCAATCCATCCAGTGGCCCTGCCGGGGCGCCCCCAGGGAATGCTTTCTGGTGAGGGGCAAGCGGCCTGCTAGGCAGTTCCCCAGCGCTGCGACCTAGGCCAGCACCAGGGCGGTGTCGGGGAAGCAGTCCCGGGTCTCCTGCTCACCCTGCCCTGCCTGCAGCCATCCTGGAGAAGCTGGAGGAGCAGCTCAGCATCCGTACACTGTACTTCATCGCCTATCTTGCCTTCGGCCTGGGCACTGGGCTGGCCACGCTCTCCAGGAACCTCTACGTGGTCCTGTCCCTCTGCGTCACCTACGGCATCCTCTTTTCCACGCTCTGCACCCTGCCCTACTCACTGCTCTGTGATTACTATCAGAGCAAGAAGGTGAGTGCTTTCGCTCTTGTTTCCTGACACTTGTCCCCAGGATAGGCTCTGTGATCCATGGGGCCCTGGCTTCAACATGGAGAATATCAGCATGGTGAGAGAAGAGCTTTGAACGGGGACAGCACTTCTGAGTATGCTCCACCCCAGCCGTGCACCTGCCCAGGTCACACACCAGCCAGGATGCTGCTTCCTTAGAAGCCACCTCCAGGCCACTCTGTCCAGAGCCAGTGGGACGGGGATGCCCACCCTCTTCCTCTTCCCTTAGGTCGCTAACAAAGCACCTCAGGGCGGGGCTCAGAGGGAGGAGAGCAAGCATCCAAAACTCAGCAGTCAGGATCGATGCAGGATTTTAAAAGTCACAATTAGTGCACGAAACAAGATATGAAAATCTGAAACAGAGACAGATTCAGTGATGGTGCTAAGTCAGGCTATGTTGCAGTCTGAGGCAAAGGGAAGAATACAGAGCCCAGCTGGGCACTGGTGGCTCACGCCTGTAATCCTAGCTACTTGGGAGACTGAGAGCGGGAGGATCGTGGTTCAAGGTCAGCCCAGGCAACTAGTGAGACCCCATCTCCAAAATAACCAGAGCGAAATGGACTGGAGTTGTGGCTTAAGCGGTAGAGCACCTGCTTTGCAAGCGTGAGTTTGCAAACTTCGGTCCCACACAAAAAAATAAAACAACGACAACAACAAAAAACCCAGAACCTGTTTTTGTAAAAAATGTTGGTATTTTATTTGGCCTGGATTCTTCTTTATCAGCTGCATGGAGATATAATCCCCACAGGATTCACACAGTCAAGTGTACAAATCAGTGGCTCTCAGTGGGGCAAGAATCTCCACAATCAGTTTTAGAACGCCTGTCACCTCAGCCCAAAAAACCCCCTAGCCACCATCCCTTGACTGGCCAGGGCAGCCAATAACCGACATTTCAGGAAGTGACCCAAGCACAGTGGTGTCAAGGTTTAGCCATCATGTGGCATCTGTCTGTGCTTCTTTCTTTTCTTCTTCTCTTTTTTTTTGGAGACAGGGTCTCACCGGGTAGCCCAAACTGGCCTTGAACTTGAGTTCTTCCTGGCTCCAACTTCCAAGTGCTGGGATTACAAATGTGTGCCACCATGTCTGGCTTGCTTCATTCTTTTTTAATGGTCACATTTCTACCACAAATTTTTTGCCAGTAACTGAAATCTTAAAATATTGCATTAAAACATGTCCTTGCTCACTAAGTTCCGGCCACCCCTTTGATTTGGTGCCCCAGCACTGCCTGGGTTCCCAGGCCCGGCCCTGATTGAAGGAGTCTAGAGTCTGACCTGGGCACATGAAGAGTAAACGGGCCCTGCAGGAGCAGGAGGCCCAGTGTCTGCGTAGCTGTGACAGGTCTGTTTCATCTCAGTCATATCAGTGGTCCCCAGGATTGCATCTCAGGGCTGGCCACTGCCCCTTGTCAGGTCCCTGGAGCCTGTGCCCCTGCCCTGTGTAAATGAATGTGCCAATCTTGGGAAAAGGACTGCCCTTCCCCACCCTGGGGACTGTGTGTAGCCCCAGGAGTCCCAGGCCTCACAAAAGCACAGTGATGCCCCATCACCAAGCATCTGTGGGTGCCCTCCAGGTGGCTCTGGCTGAACACAGTGCTGTTCTGCCTCCCAGAGAGGACCCATCTGTGTCTGGATGCTGGCGTCTAGTGGCACCCGCTTCCCCAGTTAACCATGGGATCAGTTCAACATGTCAGGACTGTGTGTGACAGGGGGGTCCTGAGCTGGGCCCAAACAGTTCCTCAAAGCCTTGTTCTTCTGCTCCCCCAGCATGGTGGGAGCAGAGGGAGGGACTGTCCGAGCTGGATCCCCAGGGGCCTCTAGTCCGCACACAGGTCAGGCCCCAGCTGTAGACCACAGGGGACATCTCGGGGTGTGTCAAGGCATCCCAGCTGACACAGGTGAAAATGGATGAATGGGACCACAGGTAGCTGCTGGGCTCGCAGGTGCTCTCCTTTCAGGCAAGAGTAAAGGGGAGGAACCCAGGCATCTGAGAAGGGGAAGGTGTCCTGCCACTCTTGCCCTGGAGGAAGAAGTCGCCTGTCACCCCCGTTGGTCACGGCCCTTCTCCCTGTGGCCATTCCTTCAACACAAATATTAATCTCTTGGCTGAACACTCTGCCTGGGCCTCCTGGGCCTGCAGGAAACCTGCAACCAGCCATGGCAGGTGTCACTGATGTGTCCCTCTCCTGGTCAGTTTGCAGGATCCAATGCAGATGGCACTCGGCGGGGCATGGGCGTGGACATCTCGCTGCTCAGCTGCCAGTACTTCTTGGCCCAGATCCTGGTCTCCCTGGTCCTGGGGCCCCTGACTTCGGCTGTGGGCAGTGCCAACGGGGTGATGTACTTCTCCAGCCTCGTATCCTTCCTGGGCTGCTTGTATTCCTCCCTGTTTGTCACATATGAAATTCCTCCTGGTGATGCGGCGGACGAGGAGCACCAGCCCCTTCTGCTGAATGTCTGACATCTGTCTCAACACTGGACTTGAGCAGGGGCTGCAGCTAGCTGGTCCCTAAGAAACCAAAGGCCTTGGGGGACGGTGGAATGTAAATATGAGTAAAGAAGTAAGTGACAGCACCAAAGCCTGAGCTTCTAGTGACTCCCCGCAGGTGTGAAGCCACTGGGGACTTGAGCAGGGGAGGTTGCAAGACTCGATGTTTCTCGAGCAGGGGTCGCTTTGCCACCCCTCCCGATTTCCCAGGAACACATTGGACAGTATCTGGAGATGTTTTTGGTTGATACAACCAACTGGGCGCCACTTGCTGTCCAGGGATGTTGCAAATCCTATAAAGCACAGGACAGCCCCCAACAACAAAGAATTACCAAGTCCCAGATGTCAGCAGTGCTGAGGGAAGAGTCCAGCCTAGCTGTGCCGCATGTTCTGCTCATTGTCACAGAGCAGAGTTAGAGCACACAGTTCTTTCGGGTTAGAAGACCTCCTTTCCAGCCATCTTGCTCATACACTCCACCATCCGTGCACACCGTGAAGGTTTGGTCCCGGGGCCAATGGTGCAATTGGACGAGGCGGAACCTTTAAGAAGTGGGGCCTAGCTGAAGGAAGGTAGGCCAATGGTGTGCCCTTGACGGACATGTTAGGACCCCACCCCTTCCCATCTTTGCTTCCTGGCTGCCACACACTCCAGCCATGACAGAGATGTCACCACAGGCCCAAAGCAGCAGGGGGCCATGGGCTGAAAGCTCTGAAGCCGTGAGACAAACCTTCCCTCCTTTTAGGTGTGCTATCTCAGGTGTTTTGTCAGGGATGGAAAACTGAGTAGTGCCCTGCCCCCCACCCCTCCACCACCCTGTAGATATTCAGCCAGGGCCCTGGGTACGGGGACGGTGGTAGGTGCTGGGATCCAGCTGTGAGCAACAAGCCCCCACCCTCGCGGAGCTGATGCGAGAGCCGAGACTCAGGGAAGGCACGGAGCTTCCGCCCCTGCAGATGGCGGGCAGCAGGGGTGGTGATGGATGATGAGGCCTAGCTCTGGTGAGATGCCACTGAGCAGTGCCCTGATGTTGAGAGAAAGCAAAGAACTCGCTGGACATGGGACCAAGATGCCCCAAGAAGTGGGAGTCTCAGGAACGGTGGAGAGGGCGCGCCTGCTTGCCATCCTGTCCTTCGACTTTAGGGTCAGACCTTAACTCCCTTCCCCTGATGCCTTCCAGTGCCACTTACGGACCTGGAGAAAGCTCAGCCCATGATGGGCATTTGCCATCAAGCCTCTGGCCACCTTCTGTCACTCTGCATCCCAACCTGTACAGGCTCTTTCCCACATGCCCCTGGGGCTCTTCTCCCTGTGCTGTGGACCCCGGCCATGAAGGTCCCTGAGGTACCTAACACACTGGAACTGGGCCTGGCATGGCACTGTGTGGCTCCCCTCTACCCTTGTGCATGGTCCCTGTGTCTGGGGACACTTTTGGCCACACAACTAATGCCTGACTGCAAGGAGTCTAGCGGTCACGGGCCGCGCCCTCCCAGCTCGCTCTGCCATCAGTTGGGCAGAAAACCCATGCTCTCTGTAGGGTGTTTTGGCTCCTTCTCCACTTGGCCATGCTCCTCCCCACTGGCCACAGCTACCCCCTTGTCATGGATTCTTCCAGGCCTCCCCCAGTGCCACTGCCTGCTGCTCACACCTCTGAGCCCTGCCCTGGTTCAGGACCTCTGCTCACTACCTGGCCTCAGTCCCCCCTCACAACCAACCTCCACCCTCTGGCTGGGGGAGCTGCAAACCCTGGTCTGTGCCCAGCCCCTCCCCTAGACACCTGGGCAGCCGAAGGAACTCTTCACACCTAACCGGGGCCCAGCCATCTTCCCAAGCCTGTCACCTCCTCCGTCTTGTCATGGAATGCTCATGGCTGAAGACACTGCCTGGGCTCTGACCCTGCCCAAAGGCCAATCCATCTCTTTGCTCATCAGGATCCCATTCATCCTGTTGAAACTGCCCCCTGCTACAGGTGGTCCTATCCCCCCCCCCCCGTTGGAATAGATGGGTCCTTTCTCTACCTTCAAGTTACATCTTTTTTTTTTTTTTTAACCATTTGTGCTTTAAGCCAGGAGAGGACGGTCTCAATGTCCTGACTCGAGATGAAGCACAGAGAAGTTCTGTGGCTGACTGAGACACATAGCTACTTGGGGCCTCTTTGGATCCAGCCTACTGTTACTTGCTGATTTTTCCTGGCTCCAGATTCATCCTTGCACACAAACATAGTATGGGTGGCTGTCCTCTGTTCTGGACTGGTTTTGCCCAGAACTGATCAAAATCTGCCTGCATGGGCACAGTGCCGGGACAGAGGGTGAGGCAGGGTGGAGGACAGCCCTCCAAAAAGCCGCTGCACCTCCAGGCTATTCCCATCAGGTAGCGGTGGGAGCCATCACCACATCCAAACCACAAGGCCCAGCTCTTGAGGAAAGCCACATTGCCGGACCCCACACCTCAGAGGACGGTGCTCCCCTTAACCAGAAGTGATAGTCACATGCCCCGTGCTGAATGTTGCACTCCACCCTCCCAATGGTTTCACAGCCAAGGACTCCGAGACGAGCACACCACACTGGTCCCCTCATGAGAGGTCAACTGGCCCGGAACTGAATCTGAAGCCTCACTCAGGCTCCTGAGTACTACAGGAGCAAAAGTGCGGCCTGCTAAGCTCCCAAGGAGTGGGCAGCCCTGTCTCCCATAGGACGATCCGATGCTGGTTCAGCCACCCGTCCATCATCCCTCACTGCAGGTGGTCTCCGGTGCCCTCCTTCAGGGTTTGTTGGGAGAGCTCAAGCCACCAATAGCAATTTAAGTCACGCCACCAAAATTGAAGGCCACCCGACCTCTCCTCGGTGAACCTGAACGTGACCCTCGTTTCCTGCCGCTCCACCCAAGCGCAGCACTTGACCCCGTGCTCAGTACTCAGAACAGAAGCTGACGTTTCAGCTCTCTTGGGCTTGGAACCGCGTCTGCCGCGGCCACCTCTTGGGACACTAGGGATGGGGTCAGGAGGCCCAGGATGCCCCTGCATGCGGAGGAAGGAGCAGAGGTCCTGGAATTGGGGTCCTTCTTGGCAGACATGGCCCTCATAGCGGCAGCTGCTCAGGGGGACTTTTGGGGTGGGGACCATGATTCTTGGAAACTACCCACAGTTGAGCCCACATGGAGTCCTCTTCCACTCAGTGGAACTTTTACTGGGTGCAGGCACTGGGGATGTGGTAGAGAGAAAACAAGAACCATCTCCTGTCCTCAAGACTTTTGCCCTCACCACACCAGTGCCCTGCCTAACCCAGCTACCTACAGCAAAAATCTGCCCCCATCTCCCCTGCACAG